TTCAATTGAGCATATTATTATTATTATTTGGCCTAATGTACTTTTCAGACCATAAAACGCTGTAGGAATCACAATGCCGCTAAATTGAATAGGTCTGGGGTAGGGCCTGAGATCCTGCATTTTTAACAGGCTTCAGGTGCTTTCTATGCTGCTGAGAGATTACGCTTGGAATACCAAGGGTCTAGATTAGAGGATGTGTATCTGCACCTATTTGTTCAGATGCAAAAATTTTAAAAAGTTTGACCTATCTGGGAGATGCTAATGTCTCATCATTCACCAAAATGACCACTATGTGTTAGTCACTGAAGATCAAGATTAAGGAAGGCAGGCACTGCCCTGACAACATGGAATTCCCAGTCTCACCAGGAAGCCAGACATTGAGCAGAAAGCTAAGCCCTCTGCCAAATGCTTGCGATGGTCTTTGGTCCCGAGGGTCCCTGGGGCGCATGCCCGAGCTCTGTCCCGTCCCCTCAGCTGATTGGCTCACAGGATTTCCAGGCCTCAGCCAGTGGAGCTCCGTCTTGGACAGGCCCAAGAGTGGCGGTTGATGGAGCGTAACCGCCATGCTGAGTCGCGGTGGCCGGGGCTGCAGGCAGTGTCCCATCACCCTGCCTGTGGGCGATGTGAGTATCTGCGAGGGTAAAAGCCAGACCCTTTCCCCCCAAATTTAGGTGTCTTCCTTGCCCCTACTCCTGGGGAGAGGAATCATAATACTATTTATCGAGGCTTCGGTCCAAGGTCTTAGCCTTGTGATCTAGAATCCTCCAACTGTACAGTGGGTACTTCCTGTGATTTCGGGGGAAACTAAGACTGCCTAGGCTCACGTGGGAGTAAATGCAGGACGCTGAATTCAAGTCCAGATGCTCTTACTCCCGAACAGTCTTCTCTTCACACCCACTTTGGAAACTAGGTTCCTTCTTAGCTGGAGTTCGTGTCTCCCTCTCCCCCTCCCCCCTCCCCCTCTCTTCCCTCCTCCCCCTCCTCCCTCTCCCTCTCCCTTTCCTCCCTCTCCCTCCCCCTCCCCCTCCCCCTCCCTCTCCCCCTCTCCCGGGTCTCCCTATTTGCCCAAGCTTGCATATTTATTTAATAGAAGAAAAAACACATGCTAAACGCATGTACAGGAAGGATAAACACCAAATTTAGGATAGCTGCTGTCTTTGTGGGATGAGTACACAGAGGTTGTCAATTAAACCTTAGTAATTTTATTTAAGCTTTGAGGTAGGAATCTAAGTATTTATTATATTATTCCCCTTCTTATTTTTCTGAAATACATTTTTAAAAGGGAAACATGGAGCCAAGCACAAATACACACATCTGGAGTCCCAGCTACTTGGTAAGCAGAGGCAGGAGTACCTCTTAAGCCCACAAGTTCAAGGATATGGTGTATGCTGTAATTGTGCCTGTGAATAGCCATTGAACTCAAGCCTGGGCAGCATTGCAAGACCCTGCCTCTAATTTTAAAAAAAGAAAAAAGTAAGGCTGGGCACGGTGGCTCATGCCTGTAATCCCAGCACTTTGGGAGGCCGAGGCAGGTGGATCACAAGGTCAAGAGATCGAGACCATCCTGGTCAACATGGTGAAACCCGTCTCTACTTAAAAAAATACAAAAAATTAGCTAGGCATGGTGGCGCATGCCTGTAATCCCAGCTACTCAGGAGGCTGAGGCAGGAGAATTGCCTGAACCCAGGAGGCGGAGGTTACGGTGAGCCAAGGTCGCGCCATTGCACTCCAGCCTGGGTAAGGAGAGCGAAACTCCATCTAAGAAAAAATAATAATAAATAAAATAAATAAATAAGTAACATGCATATGGAAAATAATTTCAGAGCATAAAGTGTACTCAATCCACCCTCACCCTTCTAGAGTGCCTTACCAGGGGCAGCCACATCAGTTTTGCCTGTATCTTATGCATTTTTTTTTTTTTTTGAGATGGCGTCTCTCTCTGTCACCCAGGGTGGTGGGCAGTGGTGTGATCTCGGATCACTGCAACCTCTGCCTCCTGGATTCAAGCAGTTCTCTGCCTCAGCCTTTTGAGTAGCTGAGATTACAGGTGTCTGCCATTACACCTGGCTAATTTTTGTATTTTTAGTAGAGATGGGGTTTCACCATCTTGGCCAGGCAGGTCTTGAACTCCTGACCTCGTGATCCACCCCCTCGGCCTCCCAAAGTGCTGAGATACAGGCTTGAGCCACCACACCCAGCCACAGTTTTTTCTTTAAAAAGAGAGGGGATGGTTTCACTATGTTGCCCAGGCTGGCTTTGAATTCCTGAGCTCAGGCGATCCTCCAGACCTCAGCTTCAGGAGACTGCAGACACAGGCTACTGCTCCTGTCTTCTTAGGTATTTTCTCTAGTGCATAGAAGCATATATGGGAGTTTGGGGACTTTTTGGGGTGGGCGTTCCTGTTTGCTTTGCACAAGTGAACCTACTATATATGGTCCTGCACCTTGGGTGATGTAATTTTTGACCTCATTAAAATGTTTTGCAAACTTCATTAACCTCTAGCCCTGTAAAACAATAAATATAATTTATCTGGCAAAATATCCCTAGGGTTGCTTCTGAATTGATGAGATGTAGGTCATGGCTACCCAGGTCATGTTTGCCTTTTTCTTTTTAGCACATCCTCATGTGTCAAAAACAAAAAACATGGCCAGGTGCGGTGGCTCACACCTATAATCCCAGCACTTTGGGAGGCCAAGGTGGGTGGATCTCTTGAGATCAGGAGTTTGAGACCAGCCTGGCCAACATGGTGAAACCCCAACTCTACTAAAAATACAAAATAGGCAGGTGTGGTGGCACACATCTCTAATCATAGCTACTTGGGAGGCTGAGGCAGGAGAATCCCTTGAACTCAGGAGGCGGAGATTGTAGTGAGCCAAAATTGTGCCACTGCTCTCCAGCCTGGGCAACAGAGTGAGACTGTCTCAAAAACAAGCAAAAAAAAGCCAAAAACCTCTTCTGCAGTTAACCCTGTGAGCACGCAGGAAAAAAGAATCAGAGCAAGTAGAGTGTTCTCTGGAACTGCTTTACCCTTTTTCACAACATTTTTACTCCTACACTACAGATAAAATTCCACAGATAATCCACCATAGCTTAATTTTTTTTTTGTATTTATTTATAGATGAAGTCTAGCTCATTCGCTTGACTGGAGTGCAGTGGTGCAATCTCGGCTCACTGCAACCTCTGCCTCCCAGGTTCAAGAGATTCTCTTGCCTCAGCTTCCCAAGTAGCTGGGCCTACAGGTGTGCATGACCACACCCGGCAATTTTTTGTATTTTTAGTAAAGATGGCAGGTTTTTTTGTTTATTTATATTTTTATTTTCTTTTTTTTTTAAGATGGGATTTCACCATGTTAGTCAGGCTGGTCTTGAACTCCCGACCTCAGGTGATCCGTCCGCCTTGGCCTCCAAAGTGCTTGGATTACAGGCGTGAGCCACCATGCCCGGCCAAGATGGTGCTTTACCATGTTGGCTAGGTTGGTCTCGATCTCCTGACCTCATGATTTGCCCACCTCGGCCTCCTAAAGTGCCAGAATTACAGACATGAGCCACCGCGCCTGGTCTATTTATTTTATTTTTAAACAGAGTTTCATTCTTGTTGCCCAGGCTGGAGTGTAATGGTGCGATCTCATCTCACTGCAACCTCTGCCTCCAGAGTTCAAGTGATTATCCTGCCTCAGCTTCTCGAGTAGCTGGGATTACAGGTGTGCACTACCATGCCCTGCGAATTTCTATATTTTTAGTAGAGGTGGGGTTTTATCCTGCTGGCCAAGCTGGTCTCCGAATAGCTGGGATTACAGGTATGCGCCACCACACCTGGCTCATTTTTATATTTTAGTAGAGATGGGGCTTCACCATGTTGGCCAAGCCTGTCTCGAACTCCTGACCTCAGGTGATCCACCCGCCTCAGCCTCCCAAAGTGCTGTAATTACTGGTGTGAGCCACTGTGCCCAGGTTCATGGCTTGAAATTAACTTATTGTTGTGTAATATGGGCAAAATGAAAGAGGTTGGGATATATTTTTTTCAGATTGTAGGAAAATGTGTAGTTTCTAGGGAAGTAACGAGGGAAGAGAACCTTGTTTGATTCTAGTTAGGAGAAAGCAATTGTTTCACTTAATTCTTATTTTACGTCTACTAAAAGCCCAGGACATATTTTCCTATTTATTTGTTTGTTTATGAGGCAGATTCTCACTCTTGCCCAGGCTGGAGAGCAGTGGCACAAACACTGCTAAGTGCAGCCTCAGCCTCCTGGTCTCAAATGATCCTCCCACTTAAGCCTCCCAAGTAGCTGGAACTACAGGCATGCGCCACCACACCTGGCTAATTTTTAAATTTTTCTTGTGTAGGAAAAAACCCTTGCTATGTTGACCAGATTGTTTTTAAATTCCTGGACTCAAGCACTCCTCCCACCTCCACCTCCCAAAGAGCTGGGATTACACATATGAGCCACTGTGCCTGGCCAATCAATCCTGGCACTTTGAGAGGTGGAGGTGGGTGAACCCAAGAGTTCAAGACAAGCCTGGACAACATAGCAAGACTTGGTTCTATCTTAAAACAACAAAATGAGGCTGGATGCCGTGGCTCACATCTGTAATCCCAGCACTTTGGAAGGCCGAGGTGGGCATCCCACCCGTGTCCGGGACCATGGCCACTGACTCATGGGTCAGGAGATCGAGACCATCCTAGCCAACATGGTGAAACCCTGTCTCTACTAAAAATACAAAAATTATCTGGACGTGGTGGCACACACTTGTAATCCCATCTACTTGGGAGGGTGAGGCAGGAGAATTGCTTGAATCTGGGACATGGAGGTTGCAGTGAGCTGAGATTGAGCCACTGCACTACAGACTGGCAAAAGAGCAAGACTATGTCTGAAAAAAAAAACCCAAATAAACAAAAAAACCCACCCAAGTAATGAGATTACAGGTGTGAACAACCACACCTAGCTCTATTTAATAATTTTGCTATTTTAATTTAATCTTTTATTTTTTGGAGACAGGGTTTCGCTCTGTCATCCAGGCTAGAGTGCAGTGGTACTATCATGGCTCACTGCAGCCTTGACCTACTGGGCTCAAGTGATGCTTCCACCTCAGCCTCAAAAAGTTCTGGGATTGCATGCACGAGCCACCACGCCTGGCTGTTTTCTTCCTTTTTAACATGCTCCCGATTATACAACCCTTACATAGGAGAATTGCAGTTCCTCTTCTCAGGATACCAATTTATGAATGCAGGTGCAATTTTGTTACATGCATAAGACTGCATCATGGTCAACTCGGGTGAGCTGAGATTCTAACAGGCCAGCTAACTGGAAAAGTCATGCACTTACTCCTTAGACTGCTCTGCTTGGCCCTTTTCATCCCTGGCTCTTGTCGATTCTCCCAGGAGCTGTGTCTTTTCAGTTCCACAGCCCTCCTTGCTCTTTCTTGTCTCTGATGCTCCACTGGAACACTGCCCTGGCACCTTCCTTGAGTATTTTCAAAACTAAATTCCTGTAAGTGGTATTGCTACATTGTCAGTGGGACAGGCTTTTAACCAAATGGCTTGTTTGACAGGGCTGACTGCCAACACCTGGACATTTTAAATTATGTGAAAATCAGGGAAATAGCTCTCTGCTTGTTTTGCGTTTTGGTGACTAGTGGTAATGGTAATGGTTTTCTGTTTTGATATATTTAATCTGTAGTGCCTTCTCTGCCACTGTGTTGGGCGGGAATCTGATTTTGTTCTTTGGTTAGAGAGCCAAGTTGACCAGAGGTTAGGCATTTTAGGATAACTATCTCAGCTCAATAGGAAAGCCTGCCCTGCCCGCAGTTGAGGGGTATGAGTCTGAAGGTGACAGATCAACAGCGTAAAGTGGGAAAGGGGTGGCCAAACAGGAGCGGCCTCCGACGTCACTGTTGCGCGCCGCTTCCGGTCTGGAGCCTTGTAGTGGGGCTGGAGCAGAGCCTGCCGTGAACCCCTGAAACCTCTCATCAGCACACCGTGCCATCCCTCGAATCCGCCAGCCCGAGCGTCCCACCCGTGCCCGGGACCATGGCCACTGACTCATGGGCCCTGGCGGTGGACGAGCAGGAAGCGGCGGCTGAGTCGGTGAGTTGGCTTCAGCCTGAAAGGATCAAGGGACTAGTTCTGGCTGGGTATTTGATCCCTGGGGAAGGATGCTTCCTAGGTTGATTAGAGCCAGGATGGGGTGGTGGGAGGATAGGCTGGAGCCCGGACCCCGAGCTGACTTTGTTTCTGCAGCCGCCTCCACGTTACCTAAGTGCAGGTGAGTGCTCCATGTCGCTAAAGTGGTCAGCCGCCTGTCAGTCTTCCTGGAACCAGGAATGATCATAGTTTACACTCATCACCCTAGATTGTGTTTTGTTTGTTTGCTTTTAATTGAAATAAAACACGATCTTGCTAGGTTGCCCAGGCTGGTCTGGAACTCCTGGCCTCAAGCAATCTTCCTGCCTCGGCCTTTCAAAGCATGGGGATTACAGGCCGAGCCACTGCTCCAGGCTGCCCTGGTTTGTAATAGCCGTTTTAGGTGTCATTCTCCACCTCTGCATTCAGAGCTTCTTTGGCTCAGGGACCATGCCTTTGCTCATAGTTGTGTGCTTGCACAGTGATGAATGATGGACCCAGTAGGTCTGGCAGTCAGCAAATCCTTTTCTCAGCCGCTTCACTTTGTTCTTTTTTCTGGGCATGACACATGGTAAGCAAGATATATATTAAACACTACTGCATAGAATTAATTTCTCCCAAGGAAACATTTTAAATTTTAGTAGGCTTTGAACCTACTTCTGTTAGTGCTTATTTCTATGACTTCCTCAAGAGTAAGAACTTTGTCTTTTATTTTTTATAGCTGATTAAAAAGTAAGTTGTATATACACATCGTTTAAAGGTCAACTGATTTTAAAAACAATGGTTCCTGCCATTATTTTTCCTCCCCAGAGGCAACTCCTTATTTTTGGAGACAGGGTCACACTCTGTTGCCTAGGCTGGGGTGCATTGGAGTGATCTTGGCTCACTGCAATCTCTGCCTCCTGGGCTCAAGCCATCTTCCCACCTCAGCCTCCTGTGTAACTGGGACTGCAGGCATGTACCACTATGCCTAATTTTTGTATTTTCTTTTTTTTTTTTTTTTTTTGGTAGAGATGGGGGCTTGCCATGTTGCCCAGGCTGGGCTTGACCTCCTGGGTGCAAGTGATCCATGTACCTCAGGCTCCCAAAGTACTGGAATTCCAGGTGTAAGCCACCATGCCTGGTCTTTTTTTTTTTCTCTCTTCGTATGTATTGTTTGAGAGAGCATCTCGCTTTGTCACCCAGGCTGGAATGTATTAGCACAATTTTTTGCTAACTAAAACCTTGGCCTCCCAGGCTCAAGTGATCCTCCCACTTCAGCATCCTGAGTAGCCAGGACTACAAGGATGTGCCACCATGTGCAGATAACTTTTTAATTTTTTGTGAAGATGAGGTCTCACTATATTACCCAGGTTGGTCTCGACCTCCTGGGCTCAAGCCAAGCTCTGACCTCAGCCTCCTAGTGTTGGGATTACATGCATGAGCCATGTCGCCTGGACTTTTACTTTTCTATAGTATTTATTTTACTCGGAATTTTTTTTTTCAGAGTCTCACTCTGTAGCCCAGGCTGTGGTACAGTGGTGTGATCTCGTCTCACTGCAACCTCCACTTCCCAGGTCCCGGTTCAAGCAATTCTCCTGCCTCAGCCTCACAAGTAGCTGGGATTACAGACAGCTGCCACCATGCCCAATTAATTTTTGTATTTTTAGTAGAGACAGGGTTTTGCCATGTTGGCTAGGCTGGTCTCAAAATCCTGACCTCATGATCCACCTGCCTTAGCCTCCCAAAGTGCTGGGATTACAGGCATGAGCCACCATGCCAGGCTACTTGGAATTCTTAATTGCCTTATGTTTTTGCTTTTTTTTTTTTTTTTCTTAGTTATCAATTCAACCCCAAACTCTCTTCCAGTTGTCTAAGTTTGAACTCAGGATGCTTAGACTCATCAAATATTCTATCAATTCTATTTCTCCCAGGCCTTTTAGGTCTGCTTCAAATTGGACTAGTTACTCTTGTCTTTAGAGCACAGTTCATACTGAAGGATAGAGGGGAACAGAGCAAATTTCCCTTCAACCTCATTTTGCAGATTCCTTCTTCCTTTCTCTTGTCTTTTGATTCTCTTGGATCCCTTCCTTTCTGTACCCCCACTCTTCATCTCTCTTGATTTATTACTTATTTTAGTGCAGCCATCTGTCAGCTTTCTGGCGGTGTATGGGAAGTAAATTACCTGAAGAATATTGCATGTCTTAAAAAAATCTTATTTTGCCCTGTAATTTGGATAATAGTTTAGCTGGGTATAGAGTTGTAGGTTGAAAATTATTTTCTTGCCTAATTTTAAAAGTATTGTTCCATTGCCTTCTAGATTTCTGTATTTGTTGTTGCAATGTTTGAGACCATCCTGATTCTTGATATGACTTGTTTTCCCCTTTCTAAGTTTGGAGAATCTTCTGTTTGTCTTACATATTCAGAAAATTCATGGTGATGTGTCTTGGTATGGGTGTATTTTCATCCATATTACTGACCTCTGGGTGTGAGTACTTTCAATCTGAAAAACTCTTATTCTTAAGTTATGAGAACTTTCCTTGAGTAATTTCATTGTCGATTTCTTTTCTTTTGTTTTTTCTTAATTCCCTCTTTTCTAGAGCTCTCTCTCTCTCTCTCTCTTTTTTTTAAGACGGGATCTCGCTGGGCACAGTGGCTCAAGCTTGTAATCCCAGCACTTTGGGAGGCCGAGGCAGGTGGATCACAAGGTCAAGAGATCAAGACCATCCTGGTCAACAAGGTAAAACCCCGTCTCTACTAAAAATACAAAAAATTAACTGGGCATGGTGGCGCATGCCTGTAATCCCAGCTACTCAGGAGGCTGAGGCAAGAGAATTGCCTGAACCCAGGAGGCGGAGGTTGTGGTGAGCTGAGATCACCCCATTGCACTCCAGCCTGGGTAACAAGAGCGAAACTCTGTCTCAAAAAAAAAAAAAAAAAAAAAAAAAAAAGACAGGATCTCTCTGTGTTGCCCAGTCTGGAGTGCAGTAGCTATTCACAGGCACAATCATAGTGTACTACAACCTTGAACTCCTGGGCTCAAGGGATCCTCCTGCTTCAGCCTCCCTAGTAGCTGGGACTCCTGGTGCATACCACTACATGGCTTTTCCCAGAACTCTTTTTTTTTTTTTTTTTTTTTTAATTTTTTATTGGATTTTAGGTTTTGGGGTACATGAGCAGAGCATGCAAGACAGTTGCGTAGGTACACACATGGCAGTGTGCTTTGCTTTCCTTCTCCCCTTCACCCGCATTTGGCATTTCTCCCCAGGCTATCCCTCCCCACCTCCCCCTCCCGCTGGCCCTCCCCTTTTCCCCCCAATAGACCCCAGTGTTTAGTACTCCCCTTTCTTCCCAGAACTCTTATTAGATGAATGTTGGATCTGTTGGATTGGCCCTTTAATTTTTTTTGTGTGGGGGGAGGGATGAAGTTTCACTCTTGTCCTCCAGGCTGGAGTGCAAAGGCTTGATCTTGGCTCACTGCAAACTCTGCCTCTTGAGTTCAAGTGATTCTCCTGCTTCAGCCTCCCGAGTAGCTGGGATTACAGGCATGAGCCACCATGCCCGGCTAATTTTTGTATTTTCAGTAGAAACGGGGTTTAACCATGTTGGCCAGGCTGGTCTCAAACTCCTGACCTCAAGTGATTGACCCGCCTTGGCCTCCCAAAGTGCTAGAATTACAGGCATGAGGCACTGTGCCCAGCCAGCCCTTTAATTTTTAAAAAGTCAGGCTTATGGAGGTATAATTTAGATAGAGTAAAATTAAACTTTGTTAGTTAACAGTTGCATATATTTTGACAAAAGCATACAGTGCTGTAACCACCACCACAGTTAACACATAAATCATCTCTACAAAGAACTACAACTTCTTATAGTTCGCTCCCACTTTTCACCCTTCTCTGGCAACTGCTGATATGTTTTCTGTCATTATAGTTTTGCCTTTTCCAAGATGTCATAAAATGGAATCATATCATATGTAACCTTTTGAAAAGTCTGGCTGCTTCCACTTAGTAGTATGGATTTGGAATTCAACCAAATTGCATGTATCATAGTCTTTTGCTTTTTACTGCTGAGTAGAATTCCATTGTGGATACACACAGTTTGCTTATTCTTCTGTTGATGGCCTCTTGGGTATTTTTTGGTCTGAGACAATTATGAAGAAAGCTACTCTATAAATTAAGGTACAGATTTTTGTATGGACATATGTTTGCATTTCTCTTGGGTACAGTCAGTACTGAAGAGTAGGATTTACTGGGTTATGTGGTGTGTAACTTTATAAATTATATGCAAAACTGTTTTCCAGAGTATACCATTTTGCATTCCCAATAGCCGTGGATGAGAGCTTCAACTGCCCCACATGCTTCCCTGCACAGTATTGTCAGTTTCCTTCATTCTAATAGGTACATGATGGTGCCTCATCGTGGTTTTAACTTACATATCTCCCTAATGACTAATGATGTTGAAAATCTTTTCATGTGCTTATTTGCCATCTATGTAACTTCGTTGAAGTGGTTTTTCAAATCTTTTGCCCATTTTTAAAGTAGGATTGTAAAATAAAAAAATAAAGTAGGATTGTTTTTGTTTTTAGTTGGGAAGGTTCTCTATATATTCTGGATAGAAGTTCTTTTTTTTTTTTTTTTTATTTTTGAGACAGGGTCTTGCTCTGTAACCGAGGCTAGAGTGCAGTGGCGCGATCTTGGCTCACTGAAACCTCCACCTCCTGGGCTCAAGGGATCCTCCCACCCAGCCACCAGAGAACTGAGACCACAGGCATGCACCACCTCTGGCTAATGTTTGTATTTTTTGTAAAGAAAGGGTTTTGTCATGTTGCCCAAGCTGGTCTTGAAATCCTGGGTTCAAGCAATCCTCCCACCTTGGCCTCCCAGAGTGCCGGGATGGATAACAGGCATGATAAATCCTTTATCAGATATGTTTTGCATATATTCTTCCAAACTACAACTTGTCTTTTTTCAACAGCACTTTTCAAATAATAGACATTTTCAATTTTGATTAACTTGTCAATTTTTAAATGATTAGTTCTTTCCGTGTTCCAAGATATACACCTTATCCAAGGCCACAAAGATTTTCTCCTGTGTTCTCTGGACGTCTTATAGTTTTAAATTTTACATTTATGTCTGTGATCCATTTTGAGTTAAATTATTTTGTAATAGGAGGTGTGGATGGAAGTTCATTTTTTTCACAGAGATGTCTTAATTGTTCCAGCACTATTTGTTGAAAAGTCCTTTAGTTTTCTTTTTCTTCTATTTTTCATCTTTGTCTCTTTTTTTCCTTTTCTTTTTTTCTGTATTTCCTGGGAGATTTTCTTATCTACTGTCTAGTGTATTTCATTTTCACTTCTACTATCATATTTTTAATTTCAGGAACTTTTTTCTTCTTCCTTTTTTACAGACAATACCCTGTATACCATTTGGAGGATATTTTTCTTCTTCTCTCTGCCCAGTTTCTGTTTCATGTGCAGCGTGTTTTATCTATATATTTCCCTGTCTACTTTTTCATGATGACTATTTATCAGATGTCTATAATCCTTGCTTGGCCATTCATATTTAAAAGTGGGTGACTACAAAGATAAGTGGAAGCTCTAAACCCATCAGTGGGACTTGTCTATTCTGACCTTAACTGTGTATCTTTAGTGGCCCATATCAGTGTCCTGAGAACTTTCTTCCCAATTCTGGCCAGATTTTGCAGAGAGGAATCCTCTAATCTCCTGCCTAGATGGTGGAGGTCTGACTCAGTGTTCTGGAATCTAGGGTAGAGGAAAGGGTGAGGGAAGTCTCAGCACTCAGAACACCTACTTCCACTTAATGCTCCTGTTTTCATTATGTCATCCCCTCCCTTAACTACGGTCCTTATCCATTTGAGCATTTCTCAGGCCTAACCTGGCAGGCATTGTTTAATGAATAAAGGAACTGTGTAGTTTGTTATTCTGTTACATGGCTCTGTTACAAAGAAACTTTTGACCATTCGCTCTCAATATGTACATGTCTGTTTAGCAATTGCATACTTTACTGTTTTATTATTTACTAAATATATTATGTACGTTATAAAGCAAATACAAAATAAAGGCTGAGATAAAAATGAAATAACACTTTCCTGTGCTTCCTTGTGCTGGCTTCATATTTTTATTAGCCAATATCTCAAGGCACAGTATATACACTTAGAAAAAATTACATCATTAGTCAGCATAGAGATAAATCTGTATTTCAAGTAGTTCCGAGAGAATTTTAATTTAAAAAATTTTTTTTAATTTTTTAGTTCTGAGAGTTTTAACTAACTTCTTGTTAGGTCAGTTTTCTTTTTTTTAATTATTGTCGTGGTTGTTGTTGTTATTTTTGAGATAGGATCTAACTTTGTCACCCAGGCTGGAGTACAGTGGTATGTTCGTGTCTCACTGCACCCTCGACCTCCCAGGCTCATGCCCCCCTACCTCAGCCCTGAAAGTAGCTGGAATTATAGCTGTGCACCACCACACCTGGCAAATTTTTGCAGAAATAGGATTTCACCATGTTGCTCAGGCCAGTCTTGATTTCCTGAGCTCAAGTGATCCACCTGCCTCGGCCTCCCAAAGTGCTGGGATTACAGGCATGAGCCATGGGCCTGGCCATTCATGTCAGGTTAAATTGTCATTGTTTTAACCTATTTTTTTTTTTTTTGAGACGGAGTTTCGCTCTTGTTACCCAGGCTGGAGTGCAATGGCGCGATCTTGGCTCACCGCAACCTCCGCCTCCTGGGTTCAGGCAATTCTCCTACCTCAGCCTCCTGAGTAGCCGGGATTACAGGCACACACCGCCATGCCCAGCTAATTTTTTGTATTTTTAGTAGAGACGGGGTTTCACCACGTTGACCGGAATGGTCTTGATCTCTTGACCTCGTGATCCACCCGCCTCAGCCTCCCAAAGTGCTGGGATTACAGGCTTGAGCCACCGCGCCCGGCCCTGTTTTTACCTATTAATATGCCTAAGAGGGTTTCTTAGTAGTTAGCTTTGTCATTTTCTTTTTGGCTTGAGTTTGCATCATAGAACTATCTTTCAGATAGAACAGAAACTCATAATAATCCAGTGATAATAAAAACTCAGGTGTAAAATGATTAACTCCTGCTGTTTTTAGCAGGCCCAAACCAGCCATTTTATTAACCTTACAACAACAAATCCTGCATTTTATGAAACAGAATTTTGGAACCCTATTATTAGGACATAACAGTGAAATTAAAGGGTACAGTTCACTGACTTTTTGTCTATTCAGAGGTGTGTAGCTTATATCACAGTCAATTTTAGAACATTTTCATCACCCCAAAAGCAAACTCTGTACAAACTAGCAATCACTCCCTGTTTCCCTCCAAACTCTACAGCTCTAGGCAACCACTAATTTACTTTCTGTCTCTTTAGATTTGCCTCTTTTAAACATTTCATATCAATGGAATCATGGTATGTGATCCTTTGTGACTGGCTTATTTTACTTAGTATAATGAACTAAGATTCATTAGTTGTACTTTATTATTGCTAAATAATATTCCATTGTATAAATATACCAGATTTTATTTATCCATTCATCAACTTCTGGACATTTGGATTACTTCTACTTTTTAGCTACTATTAATAATGTTGCTTTTGATCAATTAATGTACAAGTTTTTGTGTGGATGTATAGTTTCAATACTTGGGTATATATCTAGAAGTGGAACTGCTAGATTATATAGTAGCTCTGTGTTTAACTTGTGAGGGATGGC